TGATGCTTCCCACCCCAGTTACAGCTGCTGCTGCCGCCGCCTGCTTCATTCGCTTAAATCCGGCTCATGTGCGAGCCAGTTAACTGACGGCTGCTTGTTACGGCATTTGCTCTTTAGATTTATACGGATTTTGTCAAACAAAACATGAATCTGCACTTTTATGTATGCGAACTGTTGAAAGCCGATTTCATGAAAGCCAAAGCAGCGCCAGTTCTGTTGGCCTATTCAAGTGGTCCAAAAGCTTTAAGGGTAAGCACTTTTTTGAATAGTAGAACGTATGTGAATACAGTAGTTGGAAAAAGTGCTGGAAGATAGTGATAGAAAGAGAGAGGGAGGGAGAGAGGGAGAGACAGAGATGTGGATCGAGCAACAAAGAGCAAAAAGTTAAATGTACTTCATTTATATGTAAAAAAATGTTTAAAAAAGTATAAAAATTATTAATAAATAAATAAATTAATCAATACAATTTTAAATAAACAATACAATTTATATAAAATATATATACAATTATTAGTCAAGCCTTAAGATATTTCTTTTCCATAAACTTTAACTTTAAACACATTTTTATAAACTAAATTGATCTGACACTTTATAAGCATTGAAGTCAATTATTTACTTTATATACTATATAAACATGAAAAACTCAAGAATGTTCTATAAATTCCTGTAATTAATACATTTAATTGTAAGGACTAATGAAACATATCAAGCATACGCCATATGTGCCGTACTAGCTCTAGCCTTCAAATCAAATTTATAAAGCGGATTGGGCAAAATGAAATGCTTAAAGTGTCAATTTGCATAAAAATCAATTGGCTATAGTTGCAACTGTCTTTTCAATGAATACAAATGCCACACACACACACGCACAACAATGGCATTGCCTGTTAAAATGCAAATGCAGATTTTTAAGCCTTGCGCCAGCTTTTCGCAAACAGATTGTAAACAAATAAATGCCACGAGCAGAAATATACTGATACACACAGCGACACACCCCCACGCGCATACACACACGCACACTCATACGCATATTGAGTGGTCAGCGCTGTGGCAATTTGCAGTTGAATTCAGAACGTTGGCTGGAGGCCATTGGCACAGTGCCTGCAAAATGTAGCTTTACATATTTTTTAATATTTATACATACATGTGTGTGTGCGTGTATTTATGTAACGCTTGCATATGCATAGTATACTTTTACTCCGGCAGCGTATTTCACACTTAAGTGGTTAAATTGGCTGTGATAAATTGTCGCGCAGTCAAAGTTGTTGCCACAGAAAGCCAGCGAGAGTGAGAGGGGGAGAGCATTGCGCTGCGGGGCACCTTAAGTCGCAGAAGATAAGCCCACAAGGATATGCGAGCGAGTGCCATAAGTGCTTATTCATAGTGTCTGAGTGCCTGCTGCTGACAGTAATCATAGCGCACGCATCAGCTTGTGTTATTAGGGGCATGCCTGACATATGACAACTGGGAATTAATATGTGAGTGCCAAAAATGAGACAAAAGTCAATGCCATAATGGCCGATGACTGTGTGGATGTGTGTGTGTGTGAGTGTGTCTGTGAGTGATGGCAACCTTTTAGCTGCACAGCCAAATTAAATGTCTAGCCAAATGTAGTTAGTCAACAAGAAGACGAGAGCCAGGCGACAGGCGTCGCAACATCGTCTTGATTAACTGACAGCGCACTGCAAATGTCCTCGATCTAAACATGCCTCAATTAGTGCCGTAGACCAGCAGCAGTCTGACAACAGTCGCATCGCAACGAAGTTAACAAATTCTCGCGCTTATCGCACCATTGATATCAGACAGTGTTGATGTGCATATCATTTTTATGGGCATTTCATGCAAAATGCTTCCTGTCGCCAACGACAACAACAGCCGCAAAAGCAGCAAGCAGCAGCAGCGACTGCAATGGTGACGTCTGCTGCCAGTAGCAAGGTAGCAGCCACAGTGACTTGTAAGGGAGCTACACTAAAGTTCATTAAGTATTTAGCTCTAATTAACCCTCCTCAATCGGAGCAAATAACATTTAATACACTTAAGAGCTTCAATTGTTTAAATTAAAATGTACTTCGAAAGATGCACATACAGAAATGTTCCTTCAAAAATGTACCTTTCGAAATGTACCTTCCAAGATGTACCTTTCGAAATGTACCTTCCAAGATGTACCTTCAGAAATGTGCCTTCAAAGATGTACCTTCTAAGATGTACCTTCCAAGATGTACCTTCAGAAATGTGCCTTCAAAGATGTACCTTCCAAGATGTACCTTCCAAGATGTAGATTCCAAAATGTATCTTTCAAGGTGTACCTTCAGAAATGTGCCTTCAAATACGTACCTTTAAACATGTACCTTTAAAGATGTACCTTTAAAGATGTACATTTAAAGATATACCTTTAATGATTTACCTTCAAATATGCACCTTCATATATGTACCTTCAAAGATGTACCTTTAAAGATATATCTTCGTAAATATGCCTTTGTAAAAGATTAATAGTTGAATTAATCTTTAAGCTGTCACAGTCAAATGTTATTAGGGCATTAATAAGAAAAGGTTTCACTGAACTAGCTTTAAATGAAACATTCAATGAGATTTAAGCTGTTTAATCGCTTAATATAATTTTATATAATATGTTGAAAGAGATTGCAGCGCTTTCTCAGGTAAGTTGTGAGTAAAGCCTTAAGAAAGGCTTAGGTGAACAATCTTCAATCTTTTAGGTTTTAAGCAAGTCTTATTAAAGTATTTTGAATTAATGTATCAATGTATCAATCAATAAGGCAGCATGAAGCACATCAGCTGCTATAGATCTAATAAATCTTAGCCTATTCGTAGCACAAAATAAAAAAAAAACAATTGCTTTAAGCTCCTTTATAAGCTATTTTAGGGGCGTGCAGCCTTGCTGTTATCAAAGCTTTTATCACTCATTAAGCACTCATCCAGTCAGCTTCAGCTAAGGCCACTGCAGCGCATTGCACAATTCGTGCTGGCCAGACCCAGATCTATTTTAGTGGTTAGGCATTGTGCCGACTCCTGCCTGTTTTGTCGCTCGTCGTGTGTCTTTTGCTGTCTCTAACTTGCCGGCTGACCGACTGCATTTGCAATTTATAAGCGTATATGTATGGGCGAATGAGTATCTATGTATCGGACTGTCTGTGGCATTTTTTCCGCGCACTTGTGGCGTTTTTTTAAAGCACAACTGACTTTCTCTCTGCAGAGGGAAACAATGGAAATGCAAATTGTTTTTATGTCTTTGTTTTTAATTTTTGGCCAGGCAACGCGAGGATATTTGGCAGGCCTGTGAATGCGATTTGTGTGCTGCGCTGCATGCAACTCCCCTTTTTTTTTGCTTTTTTGCCACACTGCAACAACAACCGAACGGTCAGACTTTTGGTTTTGCTTTTCGCTTAGTTTTCATTGTCGCCGGAAAATATTTGTTTCTTTGCATTTTCTGTAATTTGCATACGTGCGAACATTTTCCTCTTGCTCCTGACATTGACGTATGAATTTATAAAGACATTTACATGCATACATATATCCATGTATGCTAGGTACATAAATGTTCAACGTGGGGGTTCAACAAACCCAGAAAGCCGCAATAAAAGTACCTTCATTAGCTGCCATTAGCCGCTGGAATGTGCATCACATTTCACACGATATTAAATCGAGCAGAAGGCACAAAAACAGAGCTGTGAAAGCAGCTAGCTTAAATTGTTTGGACACATGGCCCAGGCACTGTTGCTGGCTGGCTGTGTGAAGTGCGTGTTTGTGCCATTAAAGTTTCATCAGTGGAGCAACAGCTAAGAGCGGCCAACCTCTCAAATCCCCAAAGCCCCCGCGGCCAGCTCTTTGGTTCAGGGAGTTAAAGGGTCGCTGGCGTTGCCTGATATTGTCATTACATGCTTCGAGGATATTTCTGTGGCGTAACCAAGGCAAATGTACTTTTGACAGTTGGACTCTTGAAAGGGTTGACCGACAGCGCACACACAGACACACACAGAGCGAGAGAAAACTTTGTACAATGCAAAAGATTCAAATTTCCAGCTCGGAACAGCAACAGCTGCCATATGATAATGCCTGCCTCAGGGGGGTCGAGTCGGTCGGACAACCCCTCAGTCATGTGACCAAAACCAAACCCATATAACTGGGCTTACTTGTAATAGTTCTCAAATCAGTTTGCTCGCAGCCAACTGCTGCAGCAGCAGCAATAAATGTTAGCTAAGCATTTAAATATTTTATTAATGTGGGATTTGCGAGCAATCCAAATAAATATGTAATGCTAGAAGCAAAACTATTGCACGCAGGTAGCTCTATGATATGGAAGCATTGGTTATGCTAAGTAACTATATATAAATAAATATAGATGTATGTACTATATCAATATATATATATAGTATAGTCCACAATAAAGCACAGATTTCCTAGCTAAATTTTTTTGCAAATATAATAAATTATTTCACGCCTTGCCTATTAACGAAACATGTTGATTATTAGTTGACAACAACAATAGACATTTTATTTAACTTCTATTTTTTTGATTTTGTTGATTTTACTTTTTATATTAGCATTAAATACGATTATCCATAGCTCAGCTTCAATAAATTAACAATTTAAATGTTGCTAACAAAGACAACACAAATGTTGCTAGCAACATGTTGCTGTGGAACGTATTTGAATGCAGCTAAGACTATACGCTATGTTATAAATGAGTAAATTTGCTTTAAAAAACACAAAATAATAGAAAATAACAAAAATCAAAATTAGATGAGATATATATCTGTATATCTATAATTTTAAAATGGCTTTTTAAGCAATATATTTATCATATTTATAAATAAATAAATGTTTTTAACATATTCAAAATATCGGCTTATCGGTTAAGAGTCAGCTGAAATCATAAAATACTTGAGATAGCTAATATGCCGCCCGTAGCTCAGCCATAAACCGGTTCTAGTCGAAGAGAGTCAAACGCATTTGCAGTTGCCGTTGCGTTCACAGTTCACAAAATGATCTTGGCCAGTATTTTTGTGTGTTTCTGCCTGGTGTCGGCTTACAACTATTTGAGACAACGTCAACAGCGCGGACTTATTAAAAATCTGGGAGGACCCTTTTCCTGGCCTCTATTAGGCGCCATGCACGAAATTGTGCGGCTCTCTCCAAAGAGTAAGTTCCGACACTCCATTTACTTAAATATGCCTATCAAATGTCAACTTCGACAGATTTCTTTGAGCGCAGCTCTGTCTACTTGGCCAAATATGGCACTGTGAGTCGTATTTGGGTTTTTCACAGACTCTTCATACCTGTCGCCGACTTGGAATTAGCTAAGCAACTGCTGCAGAGCGAAACGCATTTGGAGACGGGCCACGAGCTGATGAGCGACTGGCTGGGCGACAGCTTGCTCAATTGCCAGCCGCAACACTGGCCACAGCGACACCAAATACTCTTGGCACTCTCACAGCCAGACAACCTGTTGCAATTGAACCAGCTATTTCAGCAGCAGGCCGAGCAGCTCTGTCAACAGCTAGCGGCACAGGCGGAAACGCGACAAGTCTTTGATGTGTGGCAGTTGGTCTCGGACAATGTATTGGACCTGATGCTGTGCATCAGCTGTGGCATGCAGCCAAGCGAGCGGTATAAGCAGGCATTTAAAGAGTGAGTCGTTTGGTGTTAAGCAATTAATTATAGTTTATGCTGCGTTTTGAGTGATGAAACTAAGTTTAAATATTTATTCTCAGCTCAAACTGGTACAATTTACATATGTACCTGATTTTCAATAGCCAGTTCTTGCAGCAGCTGATTCAGTTCATAATTTATGTGGCTGGCTATCGACATTCAATTAGAGTCTGAATTGTTTCAGTTTAAATTTCATACTTTGACTTCTTTGTTCAAGTAACCAAAAACATTGATTGCAGCTCTCAAAATGCATCGACTTCTACTTCCACTTCTTCATTTTATTATCTAACAATTTATTCCATCACTATTATCTATAATTATGTATAATTAACTGTAATTTTACTTCGTTATCTTTCTCCAGTCTCATCGAGCTCTATCGCAAGCGTTTCTTGAGCGTACGATCAGCCAATCGGCTCACCTTCTTGCTCGGCTCGCCACTGATGCGAAGACGACAGCAACGGCTCATACGACGCATCAATGAGGAGAACAAACAGATGCTGGAGCAGCGCAGACAACATAAGCTAAACACTAATCAAATAAAAATCGAGGGCATCACTATAGATCGCATTGAACCGGCTCCAAAAGTGAAATATCAATCGCTGCTCGAGTTGCTGCTCGCGAGTGAAGCGTCGCTGACTGACGCCCAGCTCTTTGCCGAGCTGAACAGCTGCAACTTCTTGGGCCATTTGCTGTGCAGCAGCGCACTCTGCTTTGCCTTAGTGCTGATTGCACGACATCCGGCCGTGCAGCAACGCTGTCTGGATGAGCTGCGCCTAGCTAGTAGCTCAGCGAATGGGCGCTTGCCCTACCTGGATGCGGTGCTCAAGGAGACACTGCGGCTGCACCCACCGCAGCTGATTGTGAGTCGTGAGCTGAGTAAAAGCTTTGAGTACAGTAAGTGAATGAATCTCTTCTCTAAGTCTCATTCATGCCTCCTTGTGTTCACAGCTCATTCAGAGGTGGGCGATGGCGTTCTGCCCGCTGGTGCTGAGATCTACATCAATCTCTATGAGCTGCAACGCGCTGAGCTGGAATATGGCGATAAGGCGCAACTCTTCAAGCCAGAGCGCTTTCTGGAGCAGACTCAGCTTTGGCCTGGGTCCGCGCAGCTGCCCGGCGCAGCAAATGAGCTTAAACCTGCTGCAACAGCTGGTGGCGCCGCTGCTGCTGCAGTACGAGCTGCTGCCCTACGGCGATGCACTGCGACTCAATCTACGCTTGGCGCTGGGCTCGAGCAATGGCTTCCAGTTGGCGCTGCAGCCACGTTTGAACAGCAAACAAGATTAATTAGATTAAAGATTAATTAGATTAACAAAATAGACTTTAATTTAGAGACAAATGAAATATACAAACAAAGAGAACACCTCTCTATGGCTGGCTGCGCCTGCGCATGCCCATCTGAAATCCTGTATCCGAGCGCAGCACTATGTTAACCACAGCCTGCACTGGCTCGCCCAGCGGCAGCAGCTCGTACTCGCGCACAATCTTGGCCAGCAGCATCTTCATCTCCAGCTGGGCGAACTTCTGGCCAACGCAATTGCGTGGCCCCGCACTGAAGGGCACATAGGCAAAGCTCGAAGTGGAGCGTTCGCTGTTGGCATGACGCTCCGGCTTGAAGAGATGCGGATCCGGAAAGTTTTTCTCATCATTGTGCATGCCAATAATGCCCATAAGAATCTCAGAGCCGGCGGGTATAACAGCCGCGCCAAACTTGGAGTGTGCTGCAAGCAGAAAGTCTCATTTATACGTCGCCCACGCTTAGTCGCGCTCACTTACTGTATTTGAAGTCGGTTTGCAGCTTTCGGCCCACTAGCGGCACGGGCGGATATATGCGCAGCGACTCCTTGATGACGCACTCCACATACTTCAGCTCGCCCAAATCTCGCATGGTAACAGCGCGACTGCGATCGCTGCCCAGCACGTGCAGGATCTCCTCCAGCATTTTGGCCTGAACTTGAGGATTTCGTGATATGCACCACAGGCAGAAAGATAAGGCACTGGTGGTGGTGTCATGGCCCTCGAACATGAATGTGTCCACCTCCTCGCGTATCTCCTCGTCCCTCAGCGGTCGTCCATCCACGCTCGCCTGCAGCAGCACATCCAGCAGCGCCATGCGACGCTTGCCGCCCACCTCGTTCTGCAGCGGCTGCTCTGCGCCCACACGCTGCATCCCCTCCAGAATCTGGCGACGTTGCTTAATCACCTCAGTAGTAAATGCGTGCATGGTGCGTATGAGCTGCATCTGACGAAGCTTGAGATGTGGATGGGTTAGCGTGAAGAGCAGCTCGCTTTGCAGGTAGAACGACATGAAGCGCCAGGCCATTAATGCTGTGCATCTGGTGAGTGGAAGAGGAGCTGGATGAGATTGATTTTGATATAGAATGCAGATATGATTAGCCTGTTTACTATTGGAAGAAGAGCAAGCAGGGTATAGAGAAGATAGGGATACATTTTGCATGTACTTTGAGTCATGATCTGAGCTAGCTCCACAGAGCATCTATGAGTAAAGAGAATTTTTGGCTGAGTTTATTAAACTAGTTCAACTTAGTCAAAGCTGAGTCTGAGCCACTGCCACTCGATATCAAGGCAAGGCTATATCATATAGCAACTGTGTCCAGCTTACGGAACTAGTATGAAAACTAACTCTTTCAGGCTGACCTCTATATGAATATGCTTCACACTTACTCCGTAACAGCATTGGCATAGGGCGTGCTCTCTGCCAGCTGCGCATTCACTTTGGTGCCCATTGCCGTCTCAGCGATGATGTCCAAGGCAGCCAGGCAGACAAAGGGATAGACATCGAAGGTCTCTCCATTGGCACGCTGCTCCAGACGCTGCACGCACAGATTCGACTGCAGATCAAAGACCTCCACGAACTGTTCCAGTATCGAGAAGTGGAAGGTGGGCGTGATTATCTTGCGACGCTGGTACCACACTTTGCCATCGCTGAGCAGTAGGCCGTTGCCCAGCCACTGGCCCAGCACCTTGTACACCTGATGCTTAACCAAATGCTCCTGGCTGGCGAGCACCTGCTCATTGAACTCCACATCGCTGCTGGTGATCATCAAGCGATTCAGCACCCAAACACGCTGCAAATGTCCAAGTTCAATACTATATTTGTGGGATCGTTTAAGGAAATCTGCGAGCAACCATAATAAGTATGAGTTAATTAGTATAAAACAAAGAATTAACAATAACAATTATAGTAACGTTAACTGTAGCACTTCTATAATTCCGCGCACTTCACCTACTTATTTGTTTATAATCAATTCATTATTGGAATGCAAAGAGATAAGACTTATTTATAAATATACCAGTTGGGCTTGACTGACTGCATAGTACTCGTCCACGATTCTTAGACAAAGGTATTTAAATATGAATATATTTCAATATTGTATGTATCATTTATACATCTAACTGTTTCCGCATTTATATTTATGGCAGCAACACTAATATTGTAGAAAGCCCATATACTCTCTTGACTTCGTGAACGAGTATTAGCACGCACTTCGATAATTATAAGCCTAACGATTAGATTACTCACTAGCTACTTATTTGTTTATAATCAACGTGTTATTGGCATTCACTTATTTATAGAGCTCTAATAATAGATGTTATTTAGATAAGGCTTCATTGAAAGAAATATGTTGTTTACACTTGAGCAAGTCAATGTGAACTTGCAGAAGTGGATGATCATGCAGGGACTTGGGATTATTGGCCACCTACTGACGCCATCAAGTGGACAACAGGCCAGCAGGGCAGTACGCAAACAATTAGGTAGAGAAAATGGAAAATCGAATTATTTTAAAGGGCGTGACAGACTTCTTAAAGTATATATATTCTTGATCAGGGCGTTAAACAGAGTCTATTGAGGCCTGTCCGTCTGTCTGTCTGATCTCACCATCTATAAGAGCTTGAGACTTAAAATACTTTTTGAAAGTCCGTGTATAGCACGCATATATCTAGTTTGTTTCAAATGCAGCTACTAAAAATAATATATATAAATATGTATAAACAGTAATAATGGAATCAGTAAAGGTGTTTGTGCATTTGTTCGTCAGCCTTAAGTTGAGACAAAGTATAAAAATAAAAATAAAATAAAAATAATAATAAATGAAAAATAATATATATGTACTATATATATATATATATATATATATATATATATATATATATATATATATATATATATATATATATAGTACATATATATTATTTTTCATTTATTATTATTTTTTTATATATATATTTTATATATATATATATATATATATATATATATATATATAACTATATATGTATAACCATATATGAAATAATATATGATCAGCATAATCAGTATCTGCCTATATAGTTGCATATATTTGTTTGTCTTTTATATCATGTAAAATGAGTAAAAAAGTAATAAATGTGCTCAACAGCAGCAAGAAAAAACATGTTGATTCACGTATATATGCAGTATACAAATTCCCGATCGTCATTTCTCCTTGTCTGCTGCCGCCAACTTAGTTCAAAATGAGTGTAAATTCTCACTCAGAAAGCGCTCAGCAGCGCTGCTGCAGTGGCCCTTTGAGTGACTTTCAGGTATAAAAGGGCGCAGCAGCGGCTGCGGCGATCAGTCAAGTTTATGACCTGGACCAGGTCAGTCGTTGTGCAGTGCAGTGCGAATGGTGAATAAATTTAAGTTTTTTTTGTTAAATTGTTTAAGTTTAAATAAATTGTATTCTTTAATAAATATTGTATTTGTTTAAATAAATATTTTAATATATATTTAAGTTTTTTTGTTTTGGAATATTGTCTAATTGTTTAATAATTATTTAAATGTTATTTATTATTAATAAGCACTAATTGTTATTATAATAATGATGTTCGTTGTAATGTTCATTAGCAATAATGATCATTCGGAGTAATGATCATTTATGTTCATGATTATTACTGGTAATTATCATTAACGTTAATGATCATTAGCAAAATGATTTTCTCATGATCATTTTCGTAATGCCTTGTTCTCTTTAAAATTGTTAATTACCTACTCTTATTATATTTTATAAGAAATAATTATATATTTTATAAGAAATAATGTTTAAGAGCATTTAATTTTATTAACTCCTTATGAAAGAGTTAAGTTATTTTCAAAGTGATTTTGATGTTTGTCATAGGAAGAGAATCTCTTCTCTTAATTTTAATTTTTATAACATTATATACTTGTACATATATATTTAATATATATATGTATAGATATATATATATATTTAAGAACAAGAATGTCTAAATGTATTATATATATATTCATAGATTTAATATAATAAATAACAATGATAATAGCAAACAAATGTTTGCTGAATAATCTTTTTATGTATTAGAATTTTGTTAGTAAAAATATGTAATTTCTCTTAAAAATAGTAAAAGTTTATAAAATAAATTTAAAAAAAATAGTAAAAAGTAAAAAATGTATAACAATTAAGATATTAATATTTAAACCTATATTTACTATATACCTTTATTTAGTATATGTTTATACCTATATTTAAGGCCCTTCAATAATTATGGATAACAGCTGGGTATCTCCTAGTCGAACACACCGACTATAGCTTTCATACTTGTTTAACTTAACTTTCTTTACATATAGACATGATCTTTGGCCTGAACAAGTCTAACTGGAACTATAAAAATACTATATGGATTATTTGAATTTATAATTGATTTTTAACAACATTGTAAACTCTTCTGCTTGCATGAGTTGAAAATGGAATGAATGAAGTATACAAATATAATATATAAAAATTATTATATTTTAGCGCTTGACTACTTTTACGACAACTAGAACTACTAAATACTATTAGAAATAAATAGAGTAACTTCGCGCTAAGTTCAAATATGTTAAAAGTGCTGTATAAAGTTCAGTTTAGCTGTTTTATTGCCTGGCAACACTATATGTATAAAAAATATATATAATATATGTAATTAGAACAGACAAGTTATATACAAGATATCTGTTCTATATCAACGATATACTAATTATACCCGTGCTACGAACCCCTTAGATAATGAATGCGCACAAGAACGAACGAAACAGCGCCAATGGCCGCGATCTCTTGTCCCTGTTCCATAAAGCTGCTGATAGTGATGCTGGCTGCTGCATACAACAATATTAAAGGCATCAAACAATCATATTTCTCTACAACTTTTAAGAAAGAATTTCTCATATGCACAGCAAATACATAACGAGTTCGGAAGGACTAGAGCTTATCAAATGGAACAATCCATAACATCTAAAGTCTATATATCTATATATATAGTCTATAGTTTATTAGGCCATATAAACAGCTGAATGAATTGTAAGCAATATTGAATTGTTTTGTATAGCAGCTGTTTTGCACATTTCTATATAATATTTGTGATAATTAAAACAGTGTAAAACGGCTGGAACTGCACTTTGGACTTTGCTGCACATTTCACTTGATACGTACTTTTGGGATTCAGATTGATGACGCGATGCAAGGCTCCAATTAGTGGAAAGCAATAAGGACCCGGCAGATTGGCAACTGCCGCCCGCCTGCCCCTTTGGCGCCAATGGCAGAGACTGGCGACTGTCAGCAGCAGCACAACAATTGCGATCAGCAGCATTTCGCACACTGAACTGAAGCGACTCAAGCCAGAGGCATATAGTGCTATAGTTTTCTTATCTAATCGAGATTCAATAAGCCGCTGTAACGAAACACTTGCACGCTAATGCTGCGATTAGCACGTAGTGAGCGTTTATTTCTTTAGTTATTTTCTTTTAGTGTGCATGGAGCAGGAACGAGTATGCTAATTGTTTTGGACGCACAGTGCCGTTCAGTGGGTCGCAGCGGCAAGTTATCTGTTCTTTATATAAATATTCTTCTTTTTTTATGTAATTTCCGTTAGAGACATTCGTGCGGAAATTAAAACATTTGCACAGTGAAACAACAACGGGGGATGGATAGCTGCCAAAGCAGAGCCTCGTCCTGAAGGACTGCACTCGCAAAAAACTAATTAACAGTTGCTTCCTGCAGTCGAGCCGAGGCTGCTACAGTAACTTTGACTTTTGTAATGGCATTTTATCATATTATTTTAAAAAGGGTCAGCGAGCGGCGCCCCAAAGCGAGCTGCAGACACACACACACACATCCTTATAGATATGTGTGCACACATATATAGATGTATGGCATAGGCGTGCTTTTAATTGTGCATTTTCAATTTTCGCAATGACTGTTATAAATAAAACTCTGGCTGCCGGCAGCAGAAGAAGAACAAAAAAAGAGGCAACAGAAATGGAAGATTTTCCACATTAATTTGCGCATATTAAAAATGCAATTTGTTGCGTTAATTGCAGCATGTGAAATGTATCAGACAATCCGAGTGATAGCACAGACCGAAACAGATACGGAGACCGCCCAGTGCTCAACAGCCAAGTCACGTTGATAGCCAGCGCAAACAAGCGAATAGCACGCGAGCAACGCGGCGTATGAGTAATGCGAGCTTTTCGTTCAATGAGTAAGGCTCCGCTCTCTGTGTGTGTGTGTGTGTGTGAGCTTGTGCGTGGATGTGTGTGTGTGTATTTGCCAGACACGTGAGTAACAGCAAACTCAGCCTGGCTCTGCTGTGGATTTAAAATTATTTTTTAAATGCGAGTCAACAGATATTTCGGTTAAGGCGCCAACTGCTCTGAAAATTGATATAAATGAGAACAATCAAATGGGGTAGAGAACAGAAAAATTATTAAAGAACTGTCTTTAAATTGAGATTGCGTTATGAACAAATATATATAAATATTACTGAACAAATGAAAATTTATTTATTTATTTATTAATTATTATATAGTGTATGGAATATATACGATTGAAATCAATGAACTGTTAAACTGACTGAGTCACTGATTGGCTAATTGATTGACTGGCAAACTTACTGATTGGCTGATTGAGTGACTGATTGGCTAACGATTGATAGACTGATGGTGGTGGACTAACAGCCTTGCCGATTGATGGATTGAAGAACTTAATAGCTGATTAATTAATTGTCTCAGTGATTGACTGACTAAAGTTAGTAAGTCCGTTAATCAATAAGATAAAGACAACAGTTTTGATTGACTGACTAAAGTTAGTAAGTCAGTTTATCAGTAATTTCTTACTAATTAACTAGCTCTGACTGATTGTGACTGTGATTGGCTGATTGACTGAATTACAAACTGACTGATGATGATATCTGACAGACAGATAACTGACAGACAGATAACTGATGCGTTGATTGATTGACAAACTTTAAACTGTAACAATCTTTTCAACTGATTGATGGATTGACTGACAGAATCACTGATAGACTCATTGACACTGGGTTATCTAAGGTATTATAAAAATGCCAGTAAGTGTACAATAAAATATTTATATATATTTTATATATATCTATTCACTTATCATAATCTCGATATCTTAATGCTTGTATTATTATAAAATTAAAAATATATAAATTAAGTAACTTAGTGATTTTCAGTTGACTGTAGACTATATATATATAATATATATATATATATTTCAGATATATGGTATATACACTTTGCACAACATCGATGTGAAAATGAAAAAGTTAAAAATGGACGACTTAAGTCAACTTTTAGGTTGTTAACCAACACTGGTTAGCGAGAGAGCACCGTTATAATCGTCATAAGCAATATAATCTTCATCATATTAGCTAAGCTATACGAGCTAGAGCTATTCTTAGCGACAGTTATAGGTCTATCCGGAGACTGGAGTTCAATGGCTTTTTCGGCCATGGCACTGATGCCAACCCAAGACTCGTCAGCTAAGTCCTTCAGCAGGTTCTTTGGTGGCCAAAAGTCAAAGGTGAGTCCATCTCGCTCACCGGACAATTCGAATGCATAGGAAAGCGGAAAGCCTATCGAATAGGCATAGTCCAAGCTGGTGCCCCCAAACGTATCCTCCTTGCCATACTGCCCATAGGTGAATCTTGTGCCAGTTGCATTGAAAATGGCCTCGGCTCCAGCCTCAGCCACATCATGCAAATCGTTATCATTATCACTTGTGTCACTAGCAGATGAAGAGACGAAACCTTTTAGCACAGATCAATATATACTTAGGGGTAATACCCACCTCTTGTATACCCAGGGATAGAAAATGCTGGTGTGATGCGAATGCAGTGTGATGAACAGCATCCCACGTTTGCTCTGGACCAATTCGAGCATTTTGTCGCGCACCGCTCGCGTCTCTGGTTCCGAGAAGGGCTTGCTGCCGGCATAGTGCATGGTGCAGGAATCGTTTAGCTCGGCATAGCCCTGGCCCCAGCCAATATCGTAATTTCGATTAATATTCGTTCCGAAGCAGTTGAAGCCGTTCGGCGACCGCGTATTTCGCCACAATTTGTCCACATTACGCGAGTACATATAGCCATCCGGATTGACCTGTGGCATCACAATCCAATCGTAATCGTGCAGCAAGTGCGCATTCTCCTCATGCCTAACCACTAGCTGCTCCAAGGTGTACAATGCAGCAACAGGTGTCAGCCATTCGCGCGCATGTGCTCCGGCTATGAGTAGAATCGCCTTCTTGCCGTCGCGCCCATCGCCGTTCGTTATCGTTAACGATTTCAGTGGGCGCTTCTCATACGTGACGCCCACATCTTGTAGAGCAACGCGATCGCTGTACGCCTTGGCTAGCTGCTCCATGTAATCCAGCATGCCATCGTAGCCGAGGTAGTCATCGAGTAGCAGAGACGGCGCCACTTGCCGACGCAGTCGCCGCTTGAAGGCCTCAACACGCGACGCGCCAAACGCCAGCGATTGATCGAGCTGTGTTATCAACAAGATAAGCACACATAGCCAACCGTACAGGGTATTATCGATTACTAACATGCTACGCACTGGCTTGCACACATGCCATTTGTTTTATATATATATATATAAATATATATACATATGAAATTATATATGTGCATGGGTTTCCCAGCGCTACACGTAGAACCGATTGCTCTTAATCACAAGCTACAACTGAGTGCGGGTCAGTTGACTCTGCAGTATGTGTTTACTAACTGTTGCTGCTTGCCCTCTCTCCAACTTACTCTCTCCCACTCTCTCTTTCCCCTGCTCGCTCTCTTCTCTTCTTTTGTATAATAAAATTCGCAACGTTATTATCTATCGATGATACTTATACTAAAATATAATTTTCTCTCGCTCTCTCTCTCAATGCCTTCCGCCTCTCTTTGCAAAGAGTTGCATCTATTTTTAGACTCGCTCAATATGTATGTTTGCAAAAACTCTCTGGATCTGCATCACCATGCTCTTGTTAATGTTGGAGCGAGAGACTCTTTGTAGATACATTTCGTTGCACTGCGCTTTTTATACTCGTTCGCGAAGTGAGTGGTGTATATTGGGTTTGTGCAATTAAAGCTTCAGACTTGATTTTTCCTCTTATAAAAAGATACATTTACGGTGGGCTTGGCCAATTCAGAAATACTAAAACTGGTATAAAAGATAAACTGATAAGTACTTTGAATTTGCAATACATACTCGTAGATAACGTTATACCAGCCCTTAATGACATATATACCTACCTCCATTCGGGCGTGGCCATATAGATAAAACTGTATCTTCCTCAGTCTTAGAGCTAGAACTCCACATTGCGACAGTTAGCTACTCTTATGAACGAGTATTATGCAGTCAATATCGCCCGACTGCATTGTTCTTACTCGTTGCTTATTGATATTCTGTGTTCATCGCAACTGCGCGCACTGTGCAATTTGGCTGACAGTGACAAGCAATGCCTGAACTGCAGTCTATCAAATATGGCAATAGCTAGATATAGAGTTAGTTATATTCAGCTATACTTAGTTATAGTTAGATAATTAGCACAACAGACAAGTTCTTTAAGTCAACAGCCTCTGCCAATTCGCTGAAATGGCTAATTGAGTTAGCAAACATTTTGCATGAGGACAGTGTAGAAGGGTCAGCAACAGCAGTGGAAGCAGTAAAACAACAACAACACGAATACTGTTTAGCCACTATATTTTCTAGTCTTATGCTCCACTTTTATCTGCATTTTGCGGCTTTGCCATTTTGCGGTTTAAAAAGCCATTAAAAAACGTAATTATGTTGATAAATACGTCTTACTGGGCATTTTGCATTTTTATTTTTTTTTTCAACTTCCTGTCGACGGGCAGCCAAAGGACGTGAGCGGGCCGCAAGGCGAGGCTGTTGCCACTCAACTTTGGCCGCAACAACAAACACACTTTGCTGGCAAGTTTTTAGCCAGCAAATATTTTATCATTGCGCCTTTTTTGCAGTCAAGTGGCTCGGCAGGACCTCAGGCAGCAGCAGCAGCGGCAGGACATGGCAGCTGCTGCCGCTGACTGTTGCATTTAAGCGCTGTTTATGCCCGCAAAATTTTGTCTTGCTGCAATTTGTTGCAAGCTAAAACATTTTTTCTTCTTCTTCTTCTTTTTTTTTGGCTAGTCAAGCGAAAAGTGATTCGCACAGTTTTTGAGCCTTTCTTTTTGGCAGTTTTTCATTTGAAGTCCTTTGCGCTGAGGCAATTCAGCTGATTGCGATCTAATGGAGCCATCATTTATGCTAAGACTTCGAGACGCAATTGACTACTGGCTCTTTGTTGGCTCAAGCTAAGTGGCAAGAAATTAATGAGCTAGCAAAAATGTGATTTCAATTTATAGATTATGAACCTCAGCTCGAATCTCTTCCTCTTTC